GAGAAGCAAGGAAAAGTGTATACGACAAGGACGGATGGAGATTCTGGAAGCTACCCAGCTGATTGACAGATCTGCATGGTTTCTGAATCAGGTGAATTCAGGGCCAAATCAACATTTGTAACATAACAAAAATAAGAAAAAGTACATTTCCTTTTGTCTGTTTTTAAGTCTTTGATGCATAAATTGTTACAAGTATGCGCTTTCCTGTTCGAATATGCTATCAAAATGATAGAAACCAAAATTTCAAACTTCATTGTATACTGTGTTTATTGATTTAGTAGTATTTGTATGGTTCGGTATAATTTTTTGGTGAGTAAATTTCTGTACTTTTAATATACAAACAAGTACAATCAATATGATCCACACTTTCCTCAATTGCATTCAGACTATAATTCAAGTTATAAATGTTGATTTATTTATTTTTCGTTTTTATGATATAATAGACAATATACATTTAATCCATTTGGTACTAAGTAATTTTATCTGTTCATCTTTTCAGCTTTAGTGTAATTTTCTCTCACAATGGTCTCAATTTTCCATGGCAGTGATTTAGTAAGAAAACAGCAATAATTAACTTTTGTTTAACGATGTTCATTTGAATTGACAAAGAAAAAGTGTACTTTGATTCACCGTCAAAGTATATGTGTATATATATATATGTATGTATATATACATATACATATATATACATATATACATATAATTAAACGTCACTAATATATTTTCATAAATATTTTTATTGAAACAGAGTTGTACATCTGAACGCTGTAATAAATTTGAATGAATTCAACATAAATTTATAGGGTACGCATTGAGAAATTGTATAAGAATTTTTATTTTTATTTGAATTTTAATACTTTGTAAAGCTAAGGAACTTACAACAATATTCATTTTTATAGTGAAAAGAAAAAACAAAGAACACTTAATACGTAATACCGTTTTTGGAGTGATTCGACAATAATATAAACGTTTTTTTATGAATTTTTTGTCAACAGGTATCCCGGACCATCTACTCAACGTTTTGGCAGCCCCCTGAGAGATACTCCTCACAAAAGATTCGACGACGTTGCTCCTCCTGGTACAGAGGGTTACTATGACCTATCACCTCCAGGGGTCGAGCATTCTGATAGATCTTCACGCGATGATCGAGACCGACGTCTAATGAGAGATCAAGAGGATCGTGAGCATTCTCTCAAAGACCATGATACTGAAGAAAGAGATAGATTGAGGGAGGACAGGTAATCGAATAGTTGTGTGGTGTACATTTTAACATTTACCAATCCTTTCCACTTTGACTTAATTATAAAACGTATTGCAATAAAACACCATTTAATTTAAGTAAGCCGGTGTACACTGTAAAGTGTTAGAAAGAAAACAACACATATAATGTTAAGGTTCATATATTCTATAGATCAAAAGTATATTATTGATTTGAATGTAATGTAATACATAATCTAATAGTCTAGCTCTTCGTTGCAGCACAAGGGTATATCGTTAATATAAAATATTAACAGCGTGTTAAAAAGAAGGCAGATACAAGATCCTATAAATTAAGATGAAATAATTTTGCAGGGGACGAGAACGCGATGATCGTTTGCGTGAAAGGGACGATAGAGACCGCAGAGTTCTGAATCGGGATCGAGAGGATCGCGATAGACAAGTATTGCCCAGAGATCATGACGATAGACCACGTGAAAAGGATGAACGTGACAGAAGGGAAAAGGAAAAGGAGAGAGACGACAGGCACACGCGTGATCGTCGCGACGACGACAGACATGTTGAGAAAAAGGACTATGATAAAGATCGGTGGGTATTTTATTCTTTAACGTGTTAGCTTCTGTTCCAGTGATGATGTTCTCAATTGTAATATTCTAATATTCTAATATCTATAGGATTAATTTCATCTTCATTATGTAAAATACAGGACTCCAGCCACCACAAATATGCGACGTCGGTGGCGAGCGAACACAATAACGCACTAGTCCAGAAATAGAATGTCTCATTGTAATTTATTCGTTACATAAAATGATGCTTTTAATGCTTCAGTTACAGGGATGAAAGAGACCGTCACAGACAAGACGACAAGAATCGCAACCGTGAGAAGGACAGGCGCGAACGGGATTACGAGCCCGAGAAGGACAGAGACCGACACGAGCGTTACGAGAGGCGTTCCGTAGAAAGGAAAAAGACCAGGAAGAGTCCGACCCCATACTCGCAGAAGTCCAGGACAGATGCCAAAGACTTGTCTCCCGAACGCGTGAAGAAGAAGGAGAAGGATCACGAGGAGAAGAACGAGGAGAAGAAGAAGGAGAAGAAAATTAAGGAAAAGAAGAAGAAGAAGGACGACGAGAAAGAGAAGAAAAAGAAAAAGAAGAAGGAGAAGAAGGCGGGACAGAAGGAGGTAACGAAGGATGAACCGATTAAATCGTCTGAGCAGGAGGACTCGATAGTGGAGAACAGGCAGGAGATAATGTCGCCTGAGAAGGTGGACACGATGAAGCCAATCAGCGAGGACGAGAATATCGAAAGTAGAATAGAATGCATCCCTACGGAAGCTCTGATCGAGGAGGCAATGAAAGAGGAATTCGAAGACAAGTCTCTAGCTATGAACCCGGAGCCGCCGGAGTTCAACGAAGCCAGTCCGGAGAGGATCGATCACACGGAGTTCGGCACAAACCCTCCAAACCCAAATTTCAAGCCGATCCCAGAATTGAAATCAGAGATCAAACCCATCGACAGTCTGTACAGCGGCTTGGACGACACTGAAATAAACACCGTTATCACAGAGAAATATTCTTTGCTCTCCGAGAACGACGCCGAAGAGAAGAACATCTTGTTAGAAGACAAATCACCCAAGAAGGACGAGTTCTTAGCTCCCTTGCCTGAGCTTTCTAAATGGGAGAGGGACGACACCATAGAGAAATCAGACGAAGTATGCGACTCCTCCATAGAGAAGATACAACTGGACGAATCGAAATCGACGAAGGTGGTCACGTCGGAGGTACTGAAGCGAGCGGAGAACGCGATATTCCAGAAAGCCATCAACGCCATCAGACCGATCGAGATAAAGAAGATCAGCGAAAGCAGGAAGGTGTTGTACCAGAATCCAGAGCCCAAGGTGATCGAACCCGAGCCCAACAGGGAGCCGAGGAAGAGCGTGAACGTCACCATAAACGTCGGACGGAACGAGAGGAACGTCGAGATCACCGAACCCGTGAAGAAGGCTAAATTGGACAGGACGAAGTTCAAACCAGTCCCAGAAACGTACTCGCCCACGAGACTCTCCGCTAAGGAGAGGTTAGGCGAGAAGGTAGAGGAGAACAAGGAAAGGAAGATTAGCCCTATCAAGAGCTTCTTGGAGAGACGCGAGACGAAGAGCGAGACGCAGTCCAGAAGTCGGTCGCCCAGGAGCAGGGACAAGAGGATTTCTCCTCTTCTGGACAGACGCGTCGACTCGTCGCTGTCATTGCCGAGCAACGAGCGCAAGGTGTTCCTCGACGACAGGAAACGAGATGGCAAGGACAACCGAGGAGACCGTTCGAAGGACAGGAACGACTTCAGGAGCGAGCGACACGACATGAGGTCTGAAAGAGACCCGAGAATGGACTCCAGGGACTTCAGGTCGAATAGGAACGATTCTAAAGGGGACCGGATGGACAAAGACAGGGAGAAGGAGAGGGACAGGGAGAGAAGAGGGAAAACGCCGACTTGTGCGTTTAAAAGAAACGAGATTCCTAAGGTGGGTCTCCTAAAGAGCAAGGAGGACGAGGATGACAGGAGGAGAGACAAGAAGTCGAAGGAGGACAAAAAGAGGAAGAAAGAGCATCGGAGCAGGAGCAAGTCCAAGGAACACAAGAAACGAAAGGAGAAGAAGCACAAGAAGGACAAGGAGAAGAATTTGGAGAAGAAACAGAAACATAAAGACAGCCTTGTTATGAAGGATAAACCGGAGGCTAATGAGACGAAGATCAGTTATGAGAATCCTGAGCCGCCTATCGCTGAGACCGTGAAGAAGCAGCGGAAAAACCCGAGACTCGTTTCTGACCGTAAGCGTAGCATACTTGACGAAGCGAGCTTCGAACCAGACTATAGTGCTTCGGATTCTGAATCCGACGGAGAGGATGGTAAAATGATGCCATTGCCTCCTAAGAAATTGAAACTCGATGAACCTGATATGGATAAAGAGATGGATCTGAAGGCACTTAAGAAGAGATCAAAGTCCACCAGTAGCGAAGACTCATCCAGTAGTTCGGACACTTCTAGTACAGACTCGGACAGCTCGGATGAGTCACACAAGAAGAAGAAGAAGAAACACAAAAAGCACAAGAAAAAGAAGTCCGTTAAAAGGGACAGTAGCTCGGATTCAGATTCTTATTCGGATTCGTCCGACTCGAGTAGCGACGAGGAAAAACACAAAAAGAAATCAAAGAAATCAAAGAGTAGAAATAAACAAGCGAAGAAGAAAAAAAAGTCGAAGCACAAATGATATCGCTAGATATCCTTGACTATTTTAAAGTTGAATTCTGACAAGAACTTTTCTTTGTGAACGCTTTTTAATAATAAGATTCTAATCTACCAGAATTATTTAGAATTCCTATGCACCGAAACAAGATGGATTATCCCGATGCAAAACAAAAGTAGAAAGTTATTCCTCTATTTATAATGCTATAACGGTGTTCAAAGTTCATTTTGAAACAGTCATTATCGATTTATTACCTACTTACGAATAGAGTTAATACCTTTTTGGGAATGAAACATTTAACGAAGTAACGAATGAATAAGCGAAATATGACATTTGATTTTGTTATATTTAATTTTCGAAGTGTTGTTAAGGCCTTTACATGTAACTGTTCACGATTTCACTTTCAAGAATAAAAATGATGTAAGTAAATTCATTACAGGAAGTGATGTATATTAATAGCATTCAGTAGATAATGGTTATCACTAAGGAATCCGGTACAATACTTTAGAAAGTAACAGCAGTTATATTTAAGATCTCCAATATCTCATCATTATATTGTACTTTCGTAATGTACTGTCAATATGTAAAAGATGTCGAAATAAAAAGACGAAATTCTTTTAATTTATCTTTATTCTTGTTGAATAAAATATCGTGCGCGTGCGAAATATGAAAATTTCATTGTTTCCAAAATCATTGTTGATCGTGTCAAATTCTATTAAATTCGATTCAAACTTCTTTAAGACGTTAATCTTGTTTATTTCATTGGAAAAATAATTTAATATATTCAAGTGCTTCTTATGTTTTTTATTGTTTCCAAGATACTGCAAAGTAGTGGTAATTCTCTACCATTATCGTCTTCTGTTACTCTTAAACTTTGGGTGATTAAAAATCTATCCGGTGGCTGCTTTGGTAAATTACATTCTGAAATATATTGTTTCTTCAAGCGTCTTTATAAATATTCATTTATAATGTATATTATGTGTAGAATACATGCTTTAATACCTGATATGAAAACAGTAGAACTATATTTGTACCCCATCCAATCTAGGTAGTTACGAATAAGTTCATTCAGAAGTGTAATATCTTGCGGTGGTATTGGTAATTTCTGTTTGTTCCCACTGTTCGAATTGTCTAATATTTGTATGATTTTTGTGTGCATTTCAGCCTTCATACGAGACAGTTCTCCAGTACGTACAAGTGATTCCCTTACAGCTGTATCAATAAAGTAATTCTTAAATTAAAAAAGAATACCATAATGTGTGAAACTTTCAATCAAATTATAATTAATAAATACCATTAATTAAATCCTTTTCCGTTGCCATTGTTTTTCAACAGATGCGTAGAAGAAAACTAGAAAAAAAATAGTTTCATATAAGTCAAATGTCATCATTATTTAAATTTATTTAAAGCGGTACTATGTGCGTAGATAATATGCGCAGTTCAAAGCTATCTTCAAGTTTATGATAATTATTTCAAAAATATCCAAAAATTGAGTAGAAACATGTACAACGCTACTTATTTCTTTAATATATAATTAAATTTAAATTTTATTAATCGAAATAATTTAACGTTTAGTAAAATGACGATTGTTTAAAATGTAAAATGATTATTCGCGAAAAGTAGTGCGTGGGTGAACGATTGATTTAAATTAACTTAAATACGCCGTGTTAAATGCGTGCTTAAATTTAATAGATCGCCTAGATGTAACGAATAATTAGGCATGAATGAAGATGCGGGTTGAACGCCATTCATAGATTGTAAAAACTTTGAATTTCAAACTGAATGCGTGGGGGGCTTTCGTTGCGTTTGATTCGCCACCCTATACGTTTCAGTCTATAGTTAATTTGTTGCAGCATAAGAGCGCTTGGTCTGTAATTTTTCGCGTGTCATGTTAGTTTTTGCTAGTCAATTTTCGAACGAACCTTAAATTAGGGGCCGCGTGGCCTATTTTATCCCCCTTTCTGCTTCCCAGTTCTCCACACCGTTGCTTGTATTCTTGTCCTTGCTAGAGTAACGTCTTTCTGCTAGTTTGACGTTCATTAGATAAGCAAGTTTGTTTCGTGTACGAGTTCAGTTTATTTCTCAACTATCATATCACTCGACGTCACAGTTGATTTTTTCATCTGTATGCCTTGCGTACGCTCTCATCCTTTCAAATTTTCCATGAGTAAGTTATTTATCGATTTCGATACGATACTTTTGCAACGTGCTTTAATACACTCGATCGCTAATACTGCGAGAACGAATTTGAACGTAATTAATCCATGTACGCTGTTTCTTAATGAATTCGACATACTTCAGAAGTTTAAATCTTCGCGTATAACAGTGGAATTTATATTCTCTTGTTTAATTGTATGTTCCAACGGTGTTGGTTAACAATTCTGTCATGTTAACGGAAAATGTTAGATGATTTTTTTATCAATTTACTTGTACGTCTCTAGGATGTATTATACCCGGATATTCGTGGAAAAGAGATAAATGTGAAGTATTAATAGGAAAAATATACAAGGGAAGCATGTGTCGTGTTATATATTATATATATATGTATATATGTATATTTGTATTACAGATGTTTCTATAGTCTTCCTGCAGCTGTTGGTAATGCAAATACCCTTCCTTAATTTGAAATCTGCAAGATGGTATTTGTCTTCAAGCTCTAATTTTAGCTGAGAGTAGAATGTGAACGATGATAGGACATTTGCGAGTGGCACATAGCATTCGATTTAATATCTTTTATGAATAAGTATGCGATGATTGAATACATATTTTATCTATGTTATCCGCATATTCAAAACTGAAGGACCTTTACTTCGATGTTGCAGAGTAAGAAGAAATTGATTTAGTTTGGTGGTGATGCTGGGATGTGGATCTGTTTTGATCCTATAGGAAGCCGAGAAGGCTGGCGTGCTTCTATTTTATTCCTTGTATTCTTCTCTGGGACGTATTTTGGTATTGATGCCAGTTTAACAAATGCAGCTGCATCTAATGTTCCTCATAATACTGTTGCGTCAGAAGTATCACTACCAATTTCGACACATCATGAAAACGACGAATGTAGGAATGTGACCACTGATAATAGAGCGGGTATATATACAATATATATACACGCACGTTAAAATGATAATTAAATTTTGTATGGGTCACGCTCTATTAGAATTGTTTGGACTATATTAAAATGTTTTACAGCTACTGGTCTCTCAGTGGTCAGTCAAGGATCTGGTTCTCCACATTCGCCGATAGTGCCTCCAACTTTTCTGTACGGAGTTCTTACCTGCCAACCTTATCAAGGAATTTCTGTGAACCACATCTACTTTCAACTAGCAAATGCCTTCTTTCTATTGTCACACCTTGCTCCAAGTGGCATACATGGTGTACTCTATTTAAGGTGCACTCTACTCGTGGGCTGTGCCTTTCTTGCTTTGTGGGGCTGGACAATAGCTTGCTGGCTGGACGCTGCTCTCTGGAATGCTCTATTTGTTGCCATCAACTTCGTCCATGTATGCACGCTTCTTTACAAGCTCAGGCCTATCAAGTTTTCAAGGGAAGTTGAAGAGGTAAGCTGAGAGAAGAATAAAGGAAAACTTCTCTAACTCAGTATTATAGAACATTGTTGCTTTCATACATTGTATACATTTAATCGTGTACAATTCATTTAGGCATTAATGTGCAAACCACATTCGATATTAGGTGTGTGAATTGATATTTATATATTTCCTAAAATAACAATTACTATGTCTTAAAATAACTATAGTTATATACATTCTTTTTCTGAAACACATAGTCCAAACAATTTTTCATGCATTTTTGGTAAATAGTTAATATAAAAAATATTTCAAGAGTTAGAAATGTTTGACATAGGTACTATGGTAGTGATGTATTGTATGCCAGTGTAAAATTGATATGAGTAATTCCAGGTATCAAGTTGTCTATTTACCTTTAAAGCAACATTTGATATATGTACATTGCAAAAAATCATATTGTATTTCCATATTTTTAAATTATTACTTGTAGTGTAATATTACATATCTTAGGTAGAATAATATTATCGTATTAGACCTTATAGATAGATATATTAGAAATAGATATTATTGTAAACTGCTTGTACGTTTGGCTATTGCATCTGCATTATGCTGGAATTTTTTTTATACTATCTTTCATTTGCATCTTCATACATGTAATATGAGCAACTACTTTATAGAATATGCTTTTTGTATTAAACTGATCGTTTCTTAATTAGTAAGAAATTGAATATTCGATTATCAAGAAGTTTTGTAAATAAAATAATTTTGTGTTAACATAACTTATTCTAATCCGAATGATAAATGATAATTTTAACAGAAATAATGTGAATATCTATATGTGCAAAATATTCGTGAAGGGGACTTTTTTACTTTCATTTTTTTATACTGAATCATGTTGTGTAAATTTTATATCTTATTTTCATTCTTGTTCGTATAGGTATATATTGCAGTGTTCCAGCCATTAAGGGTATCACGTCAACAGTTTAAAAAAGTATTAAATTGTATGAAGGTTATACGACAGTTGAAATATCAAGAAGTTTATGCCCAAGAAAAAGTGACAAAAGTTGATTCTTTATCTTTGGTACTTTCTGGAAAGTAAGTACACATTACACACTTTAAAATTGTCTTGTACAATAAACACATTTGTTTTCAAATTATGTAATCGTTTCGTATCAATTTTTCAGATTAGTAGTATCACAAAATGGAAGAGCATTGCACATTGTCTTCCCACATCAGTTCCTGGATTCTCCAGAATGGTTTGGTGTCTCCACGGACGAATACTTTCAGGTCTATAAAACTATTCCATAATTTATCTATTCATTGTAAAAATATTATTAAAATATTCTGCACAATTCTTTATGCAGGTATCAATAACAGCTATGGAAGAATCAAGAATATTATTATGGCATAGAGACAAGTTAAAGTTAAGCATAATTAGTGATCAATTTCTGCAGGCAGTGTTTGATCATATTTTGGGAAGGGATGTAGTCAAAAAATTGATGCAGGTATATGTACGAACTAAAATTATAACATTCAGCCTGTTTAATACAATTTTTAATCTATATGCATTTGTATAAATGTCACAATTCTAGGTCAGTGAAACAATGGCTGCTAGTAGTCATCAACAACAAAATGGCCAAGTAATTGGTTTAGGTGGTATTGGAACCTTAGAAAATGATCCTGACACCAAACTTTTCGTTGTGAAAAAGACTGGTGACAGTCAAAGTATTACCGCTCTCATCAGTCGTCAACTTCAAGGTAAGTATCTCCAATGTTGTACAACATAGAATTGAAGTTTGAAAAAACATTATGTATTCGTTACTAATATTTTTATCTAAACGTTTTTTTCACAATATTTAAGTTTATGAAAGTTAAATTTTTAATATATTGTTTTATATAGAAACTCGTATTCTTAGACTTCTACAATTCTTTTATTTATACCTTTTACTGTTTTATTTGTATATTTATGTACATGTCCTGGTAGTTTTCGTAGCTGATACCAATACTTGACAAAGTAACAAAATAATACTGTAATATATGTACAATGATACATACTAAAGATTTAACAATACTAATTAGTTTCTAAGTTATTTGTATTTTTATACATGTATAATCCAGAATACACAATGGTTGACAATACCTATAATCACAAGAAAAAAATATGTTACTGTTTACATTCTCAACAATTCAAAGAATTTCCATTTCTTGTTTAATTATTAATAATATTGCCTTATATAAGATATTTGTAAAAGCACAAAACATTTTTTGAGGATCAATTGCATACGTTTAAATACTAAAAGGAGTTTCTATACACGAACATCCAATAAGGCATAACTTTTCAGTTATAAGATCTTTCGTGAGAAGTTTCTCATACATAGTGTTTCGATTCACAAAAGTAATACTGAAAACTTAACTTCTGCCTGTAATTGGTATTCAATATTCATCTCCTTCTTTTGTACACAGATATCCACATAAGTTTCCACAGAAAACAATAGTACATACACAGAAGTACAAGAAAATTGATGAAAATACAAACATGAAAAAACGAACGCGAAAACAAGACCAATGTAAAACGAAGGTTGAAATGAAGAAAAAAAGAAATAAACGAACGGTCTTTCATTTCCACGTGTACTTTCGTTTTACAATAGTTCTGTTTCATGCTTGTTTTTTCTATGTATTTGCATTTTTGTGTTGCAGAATATTAGTATATTTTTAGTCTTGTTTTCCTTGTGTTTTACACGGAAAGTTATTTGGATGTATGAATACAGAGGGGGGAGATACTTTGAACATCAGTTAAGGTTGGAGGTAAGCTTTTAGTATTATGTGTGGAAAAATTAGGTCAATTAATTGTTGTTCTTGACAGAATACTTTTAAACACATAAGTTTATATCCGATGTAAGAGTCATTATAAACATTCATAGTTCTGCGAAAGATATTAATATTTTGACTTTAGTATTAATGTACTAACATACAAATGTACTTTGGATTTTATAAAGATTCTTACCTAGAAAATTATCTAATTTAACACTCATATGACAGACTGTCCAGGCTGTGATGCAAACAATGGTGTCTGTTCGGACTCTATTATTTATACAACATATGTCTGAATACTATTAAGAAATGTAAATGATTATGTCTAGAGCTGGGATCCGTACAGGCCCAGGCATCACAGTCTGAGTGTTAAACTTATGCATGGGCATGTATTTTGCTAAATATAAATGTTTATATTATCTTACAATTATTCCTAATAGGAATAGGATATTTTTAATCACTCTTCAATTAACGATCCTAGAATTAATAATACTACACGCGTTTCATTCTTTGCATGACAAACGTGCTCCTTTCGAGATTTTGTTTTAACAATCCTGATCGAGATTAAACTTGATTTTTTGTTTAATTTTTACAGATACGTATAGCATATCTATATGTCCTATGATACCGTAGGATGTAAATAATTAAATGATTACCTCCAATTATTTACAAAGTATAACTCGGAATTGTTAGTTGCATGGCAAATTATGCATGCGTTTGCAACGACACTAATAACATATATTTATATACTTGTTACGACACACTTTATATAATTGTGCATCAATTTTGATTTTGCTTTGGATAGAAGAGAGAATGCCGCTGCTGTACACGACTCAGGAAGTGCTGAACAACACTTTGCATCATATCAATCACCTACGTACACTTCCCTTAGATCCTGTGCAACACAATAATGTTCAGTCTTCCTTATAATATTCCTGTGACACAGGCTGTGCAATTACCTTAGCACAAATTTGTACGTGATGTATATGTATTATGTTTCTACACAACGGATATCCATATGTTATACAAATATCATCGGGTAACTTCATTTGTTATTTTCTTCTGGTTATTGTATTCAGGTGAGTTGTCCTTGTGCTTATGTAATTTTGTTTTATATTTTGTTCCGTGTTAGTGATATCCGAGATACGATTTAGATTATTACTATCAGATTATGTACAAAGAGGATCAGTGATTCGTAATTTTATAAATAGTAGTTGCACATTCTACAATAAGTTCGACTTTGATAAACCGAAATATAAATTCTGATAGTAATATATACTACCTTATGTACATTTCTCTTTATTTTCTCTCTTTTCTCATTGCTATTTTCGAAGGATTAATTTAGTTATTGGTTTTTCTCTTACACATGCGAATTGCTTTAGGTGTATTACATTTAATGAATTCATATCGTGGAAGAAACTTTGTTATAGTTGTACATAAACATGATTCATGTGTTACAGATATATATAATTGCATTAAATATTCTGATGTTTCGTTAGATAAGATAAGTGAAAAAATTGTTTCTATTATTACTTTGCAGCAGCTGGAGATCCAAATGCATGGAGATTGGGAAGAATTGAAGAGACTGATCATGAAACTCCTGTTTAATGAAAAATGATTGTTAGATGAGTGTCATCCTCGACAGTCAATATGAAAAAAAAACAACAACGGTCTTTTTACATAACGATGAAATGTATTCTCAACATCATTGAAAACATGGCATGGTATGCTATGCGTGGAACAATTGAACATTCTCTTGCCAATTAATAATTTCTCCCGTAACTAGTCAAGTATTATTAATAATGGACAAAAAAAGGACATTTCATCGTTTATAGCATAATGGTTCCATCTTAGTTTATAAAAATGACGGAAAAATGTTACTTTATGCTTCCAATGTATTATCGAATACCACCAAACTGATTCAAGAGTGGCTATTTCTAATTTACACTAATTTTCCTCTCGACATGTGTATGTTTAGTACCAAAACGAACAAGACTTTACGTATGTAATAGAATGAAAGTTGTTCGATCGCAACGGCGTAACTTCTTTACTGAAAGATCTGTGATTTACTGGAAGTATATGGTATATAAAAAAAAACGAGAAAAATTAGGGAGGCCTAAATACCTGATTGTTTCCCATACCCAGATATAGTGCCTTTTTACTTGCATTTCATTTATTCATTTTTTAAGGAAATTATATATACAATATTACTGTGCACTAATTTACATGTTCATTCAATATCTTTTAAGAAAGTGGCCGACGGTAACTCACGTATACACCTCCAGTAAATGATTTCCTTCGCACTTTCTAGAATGGGACCATTTAAACTGGTCTTTATTTTAGAATAATTGACAAACATATTTATTTACCCATTGTACATTTTGAGTGATGTTGTTATTGATATAATTATCAAAGAATGTTTACTTTACGTACATTATTACATTAATTTGCTTAATGATTTGTCCATTATTGAACGTGTACATTGAGATAATACATTACTGCTCGTTGAAGTACCTAATGTATCGACAGTTCCCGTCGGCAACTGGTCGTTTTTGCCATCAAAACTATTTAAAGATAGTTAAAAACTGTTTGCAAATAGTTTTGGAGGAATTATTGCGCAAATCATAATGATATTTCATAATGCCATTGGGTAATGGCGTTCAGAATAGAGAATGAAACAGGAAGTTACGCCAAAAAGCGCAGAATGATAATAAAGAATATAAAAAAAAAATAAACAATTGCAACGTAAGCTACATTGATGGAATATTTATATTGATATACATTGCAGGATAGAGAAATAAAAATGCATATAACTTTTAACGGTTAATGATGTAAAATTATCGAGGATCGTTACAATAATATTATAGTCACGATTATCATTCCTTTCGTTTGGGAAACGATGTTAGCGTTACTTCTAATTTTACTTACCAGCAGTAATTATGATTAGAATCGATTATAATTATAAGTGATACGAGCAAAAAGAAAATCAATACACGCACAGTGAAATTGAACGTTTCGCGTGTGAAATTTCTAGGCAAATTTTCATTTTCTTGAAAAAACGAAAAACGAAAAGAGAGAGAATATATGGAACATAATTTTTTTGGTAATTTATGATTTACTTGGAATGGAAATAGTGAAAGTATTACGTACTGAAATTTAATATAAAAATCTCAGGTTTCGATGATTGGATACAGTTTTAGGAAAAGAAACTATAATGGAACAAAGAAAATCTTTGAAGACAAGTTTTGTCTAGTCTTTAGCAGAATGCATTAAAGAAATTTAAAATGTTGCTAATTATCTAATTCATGCCCAGTTAAGGTTGTAATATGTACTATTAAGAAGACTTTTTATATGTAAAATTATAGTTCTGAGAATATTGTATTCCAAATATTATAACTAGTTTAAAAGTTGGATAATAATTATTCTATCATATGTGTAAGGGGTATTCTTACAATTTTTCGTTTTTCTTTCTAATTATATAAGAATACGTTGATTTATCTACTTTATTGGATAATCATACTGTTTTCCTATACACTGCAAAATTATGGGGAAAAAGAACCGAGGATCATGTGATTTTATTTTACTCTACTAATACCGTACGTATGTATGTATGAAGGACGTGTAAATGGTTTGTTCGATGAATGTAAATTATCCGTTAGTAATCTTTGTTTTTTTATTGTTTCTCATTGTTATAATCATATACGGTGTCTTTTTAGTATAATAGTTAGATAACACAAAGAGATATGGATGAAGTGAAAGAAATTTAATCATATTGAATACAATGATGAAAAATTTAACGAGAAAGGAATAAAG